TTTTACATAATGTAGTAATAAAAATATGGAAAACAAAAATGATAATGAAGAATTTGAAGAAAAAACTTAATATTTACATAGAATTGAAATAAGAAATCAAAATATCTGGGTGTTTTTTTAAAATACATTTTTATTGGTTCTAAACTACAGTTAGTCCTGTAGTACAACCATTCATTTAGTGACTGTTCACAGTTACAACGGCACTGAAAATTATGACCCATTTTCACACTTATGACTGTTACAGCATCTCCATGCCATGTAATCAAAGTTCAGGTTCTTGACAGCTAGCATGTATTTATGACAGTTGCACTGTCCCAGGGTCATGTGATTACCATTTGTAACCTTCCCAGCCAACGTCCGACAAGCAAAGTCAATGGGGGAAAGCCAGATTTGCTTAATAACTACATGATTCATTTAATAACTGCAATAATTTGCATAACAACTGTGGCAAAACTCATAAAATGGAGCAAAACTAACTTAACAACTGTCTTGCTTAGCAACAGAAATTTTGAGCTCAATTGTGACCATAAGTTGAGGACTATCTGTAGTAACAGAAAAAGCAGAAAGCAAAAGGAACAAAAAATAAAAATACATACATTATAAAAAAGTAACAAGTGCTTAAAATAGGTGAAAAAATACAACAAAAATAAGATGCAACAACAGTCTTTTAACTATAATAAAGGCATGGACAATCCATTTACGTTGCCCAATTGTCAGTTTCCATACACTAGATATGTAATTCAGGAGAATATTATCCTCTGAAAATTTTAGCTTTTGTTACATAGTCACATTTATATAGTCCATTTTCTCCCCAAACTCAGTAAGTATAGGACATTGTAAAAACACATATTTTAAAGGAGCATTATGTTCGTATTATATCTTCACAAAATGCTGTCCCAGACAATCCTTTTTTATACAAATGTAATGAAATCCAATAAAATTTAAATATTTTTTGTTTTATGTTATAGGTTAAAGTCCATTGACACTCTAGGTTTAGAAGTTAAGATACTCTCCCATTGTCTAGGCCAGGGGTAGGCAACCTCGGCTCTTTTATGACTCATGGACTTCAACTCCCAGAATTCCTGAGTCAGCATTAAAAAAGATTTAACCAGTTCTAGTATCTTGGGTGTCTCAGAAGCTGAAAGTGCTCCTTCTCCAAACAATGTTGTTAACAGATATTGTAGCTGTAAATATTGCCACTGAGTTACATCTGATAGATGATAATTCATCTCTTAGCACAGCATATGTTAAAAATTCATCTTCATCCTCTGTCAATATTCCCACTTTCATTCAATTTTCCATATCATCATCTTTTCTCCAACCTTTAATGTTGGATTTCCCTATAAAGTCAGTTTAGCATGGGAAAGAGTGTGCCCCAGAGTTTCCCAAGCTGGAAAATTAACAGTTGTTAGCTTCCAGTATTTAATACTTTACAGTTGATAAATTTGACATTACAGCTCCAGATTCAGAAAACTGAATCTTTCCTCATTAACTGATAATTGCATTTTCTATAAAGACATTCCTGGAACCAAAGAATCTTATAAAAATTTTATAAACAAAAAGTTTATTTTCTGAAAATATTTTCCAGACATTTCAAGAGGAATTCCTCTCAGAATATACATTAATCTAGGAATAATATTCATTTTGAGAGTGTTCATCTTTCTCCAAAGGGTGAGGTTTAATGACTCCCATCTATCTATAACTGAAAAAACCTCTTTATATATTTTATTTATATTGCATGTTACTAACTGGATTATATATTTTGATATGCACATACCTAAATATTTAATGAATTTGGTACAAATACAGAATTGATATACTTTAAAAGGATGGGAATCAAATTTTCACTTACTGGTATTAGTTCTGATTTGGACCCGTTAATACAATATCTTTCTATTTTATTAAAGGCAACTATCATTTGCATCAATCCTGGAATAGTAGTGTAAGGTTTAGAAATAACAGAAAAATATCATATGCAAATAAAATCAGTTTATGTTCAACTAAATTATATACTATTCTGTAAATCTGCCTTCATTGTCTAATAACCAAGTCCATGGCTTCAAACAAATATCAAAAAACAAAGCTGAAAGAAAAAGCCTTGTCTGGTTCCTCTAAATAATAGGAAAATAGCAGAAAATTTTTCCTTGACCTTAGTTTTAGATGGAGGAAACTCGAATAATATCTTGATCCATTTTATGAATTTCATATGAAATTTGAACCTATTTAATAATCAAACATGTACTGACTATATATTTTGTTGAAAGCTTTTTCAGCATCTAACACTAAGTTTATAAATTGGTCTTCATTTTTATTCAAATCTATTAAGGCTATAACCAACCTAATATTGTTTGCCCCTTGATCATTTTTAATAACAACCAGTAACATTTGCTGTAATCTGTTTGCTAGCACTGCTGTTAATATCTTTCTATCAACATTAATAGGTGAGATTGGATGATAATTAGCACATTGGTATGATCTTTACCTGATTTTGTCATAATTGTAATAAAGTCTAATTAAATACCTCTATTTCATGCCTAATATTCCCTTATCAAGTATCCCATCATACACTTCTGGCACCAAAAGATCTATAAATGTTTTATTCCAGAGGCAACCCATTCAATCCTGGTGTTTTACTAACTTGCTATTTTTACAATTATTTGTTTAACTTTTATCCAGATATTGGGGCAAATAAAATGTCTTTGTGAATATCTTGGTGTTTTAGAAACAAACACTATTTTTGCATGCTCAAGTGAAAATTAAATTTGGAATATCTGATAAAGTATTGAAGCTGAATTGGGGTAATTATCAAATCTATTAATACTTAGGCTGTCCTCTCTAATATACTACACAAAAATTGTGGTTGACTGGACAAAAACTGAACTAGATACTTTAGATCACAAGACTCTAACTTCTGACAATGCATCACTTCACCCAATAAGCAAACATAGATTGTGTTTACCAAGGAAAATTGGTAGTCTTTAATTGTATGTGAACCAGATAGTGGAAGATGAAATCAGAGGTCTAAATAATTATAAAAAAGCAAGCAAATATTAAGGTCTGCAAGGCAAACTCTTGAATGTGATGGAATCAGAGGGAACATACAGAACTGATTATTTATAACAGTGAATGAAAAATTGGAAAGGTAAACCGGCATAGTCAATACCGAAAAGAATGTAGTAATAAACTTGGTAATGACTTCAGATTAGATTCATCAAGAAGGAAACATAAGAACGAACATTTATAGCATAGAAACAAGCACTAGCAGCAAGTGCCATAAAACAACATTTTAAAAAACAGGAAACAGCAAATATAGATTATACAAGGAGAAAGACAAGTCTCTTGCCTACCTAAAAAGTGGTTGTAGCAATATTGTCCAGACATGGTTGTATGGCAAAATGATATGTTGGAATTGATGCCCAGAATATTAGTATGACCATAATTTTGAAAGAGTGCCCCAAAATTAATATGTAAAATTTTTATGGATCTTCCAAATTCAGGCTGACATATAGAATGCAATATGTTTTGACATCACAATAGTTGAAGAAAAGTAGGCTTTACCTAAGGATGTAGCGATGCCAAATGATGGCAAAATGGCTCAAAAGAAACTGGAAAATATAGTGAATTATTTAAACTTACCAAGTAAAATACATATACAGGTAGTCCTTGACTTACAACAGTTTATTTAATGACTGTTCAAAGTTACAACATCATTGAAAAAAGTGATTTATGATCATTTTTCTCACTCAGGACCTTTGCAGCATCCCCATGGTCATGTGATCAAAATTCAGACACTTGGCAACTGACTCATATTTACTATAGTTGCAGTCTCCCAGGGTTACGTGATCACCTTTTGTGATCTTGTGACAAGCAAAGTCAGTGAGGAAGCCAGAGTCATTTAATAACTGTGTTACTAACTTAACAACTACAAACTTAACAATTTGGCATTGCTACAATTATGGCAAGAAAGATCGTAAAATGGGGCAAAACTCACTTAACAAATCTCTCATTTTGCAACAGAAATTTTGAGCTCAGTTGTGGTCATAAGTCAAGGACTACCTGTATTATGAAATAAGGCGGGGGTGTCAAACTCGCAACGTCACGTGACGTGTTGCGACGTATCGTGACTTTTTTGCCATTGCCGGCAACGGGGTGGCGTGGTTTTGCTATGATGCATCCGTCCTGTGGGCCGGCAGTTTGACACCCCTGAAATAAGGCATCAAACTTTTTCCTATAGCAACAAAATTGTCATAATGGTTGAAAAAAAAATAGAATGATTTGGCCTCACAATGTTTAGTTTACAAAAAAAAGCTTTTGTTTGAACCACATAGATATGATATTTTTAGAATTCTTAGGCTTTGGAATAAAGCTTGAATTGTCCTTAAATTATCAGCAATTAGAAAACCTCAGTTCTATGACAAAGAAATACTGGGAGAGGACCTCAACATATTTTATCACCAGATAATCTCTGTAGCTCTGGAAAGGAGCATAGAAGAAATTTAGCCTAACTCCTTGAATTAAAGAAAATGGATTCTCTCAGTTCGGCACTGCAAACAATTGGTTTTAAGATTTTTGTGTACAACAAGATAAAAAGAGATAACTTAGTGATAAAGAATAAAGTAATTAATAGAAATGCAATGGTTCCAGCCAATAATCTAAATGTAAGCTTTAAGTGAAAGAAATTTGCTCATCCATTTGACTTGCAGAGAAGTTCTGTTGCCATCAGCCACAATGATCAATTATATTCTGTTTGTGTTTAAGAAGTCCAGTAAACAAAATAAAAGATGGCATTTATTTTTTGGTATTCTTCCTTGTCTTTGTTATTTGTCCTTTGATGTTTTGTGTATTGTGTTTTAGCATTAGTATTCAGTATTTTTAAAAAAATCAATGAAAGCAGCAACAGCAACAAAAAAGGGGGTGGGTGGGATGGAGGTGAATTATTATTTTTCTATGCCTGTTTAGTTTTTCACTAATATGTGTTTTCTGCATTTCTTTTGTTTTAGCTGACTGGAATTATTCAGGCTATGGTGGATGGACAACCTAGTCTCCAGCAAGTGCTTGAGGTAAGCAGAATAACCTTTCGTTCCTGATCCTTGATCTTATTTCTCCCTTCCCCCCCTTCTTCTTCTTGTGTATTGAACCACATAATTTGACTATGATTACAGCTTCATTAGAATAACATTTGCTGTCACATCAGTGACATGCTGTAGTGAATATTGAACCATTGATCTGTCATTTCCAGCTGTTCATGTCAAAGGTGTTTGACTCTTGCCCAAAGCCTTGAGGAGGTATGTGTAGAGGAAATTCTTTTACTGGAGGCGGTCTTCAGTGTTACATTAAAAATACTATATAGAAGATAATAGATAATATACATATCAATTTAAATATTTAGTAATAAACCATTTTTATATAGGGTATCTAAACATGGGACATAATCTTAATAATGCCATTTGGTTTAAGTAGCATTATAGCATTTAAAGCTTAATTAGCTGAAAGTATTTTCACAATCAATAGCTTTTGGTGTTTGGTCTCTGTGAATGGAATTCTTCAAGAGGTGAATCCTTCCCCATTATGGTGTGATGTTTTGCTCCCTTCAGGATTTGGGCCTAATAGTTCTTGATCAAAATAATTGCAACCACAGCTGCATGAGGAAATCTGATTAAAGGGTGAAGTTGCATTCCCTTGCTTCAGTGATAATATGGAATTGCTTGGTGAAGGGAAAAGAGACAGCTGGGTATCCTGAATGACATTCAGTAGTGAGCCTTCCATACACTCCATTGAGATCTGCTTCAACTAATCCTGGGAGAAGGCCTATCTTTTATCTTCTCATTAATAGGGGAGCTAACCGTAATAGTTTATTCACCACCCACAGGATCTCATTCCTTTATCAGAGCCATGAACAAAGCCAGAGAAGACCCTGCCTCCTGTTAATTTAGTTAGTACTAATGCTGTAATACAGTTCAATACAGCGCAGAGACAGGACTTATGTATTTGGCCAATATGGAATGCATATATTTTTTACTGTTACACAGTGGGCCAAAACACCACTTTATTATGGAGGCAATTGAAAATTTAAAACTGAAGTGAAAGGTTGATGTCTCCTCTAGGATACAGAATAAAATATTGTACAGGTAGTCCTCGACTTATGACCACAATTGAGACCAAAATTTCTGTTGCTAAGCAAGACATTTGCTAAGCGAGACATTTGCTAAGTGAGATTTGCCTCATTTTTCAACTTTTTTGCTAAGGTTGCAAAAGGTAATCACATGATCCCAGAACACTGCGACTATCATAAATAATATGCAGGGATCCATAATGAATAGAAAATATAAACTTGTAAGCAGGTATGTTTATCAACCATTTGAAGTAGGTTAAGTCAGGAAATAGATAACACAAGAATTCTGTTTCACTGATACAGAGTACACTAGCAGAATCTTTGAAGACTGATAGTCCTCTCTCTCCTTATATAAAGAAATCAAGGTGAAACAATCTTGGAATTTCTTTCTTGCACTTTCTTGTTTTCCCAGGCTAATCTCATATTTTACTAATGGTTGCTTTATATTCTTCAGTGCCATCTCTATATTTCTCTAGAGTTTGTTTCCTACTATAAAACAATGTGTGTAACAAAAATAAATTCTTGGTGCGTGAGAAAGCAGTAAAAAGACTGGGACAGTAAGTGGCCAGCTCATTAAAATTTCATGGAGAAAAATTAGGAAGAACTAGAGTATGGAAACTACTCACTACAAGAAATACAAAAGAAATGCAAGAACTTTAGACCAGAAATGGGCAACTGGTTTTGGTTTGGAACTCAGATTTTGCTTTTGTGTATCTTGCTAATGATATCATAATGGGAAAGATTTAAATGTAAATATGTGTGTGTATGTGTTAGGAGGGTAGGGATGGGAGGGTTAAGGGACATACTGAATGTCAGAGGCTTAAGACATCTATTTTGCTTCTTAATCTCTTCCTTCCAAAAACTTGGTCTGACTTTTATTTTAATGGAAGTTGATGGAAATAAAACTCCCCCAAAAGAAAAACAATTCTAAGTCTTCGTTTCTTACTTCTACTCATTTCTTGAGGCTGCTGACCCTACATTTCTGGAGTTTTGAAACAGGATTCAAGCTTTTATACAAGAAACAAGTCAACACTTCTTATAAGGATTTGTGTACTGTGGAAGGAAGGAAGAGAGTAATTATAGTGGGACCTTTTAACTACTCAGTGAAAAATCCGGAAGAACAATTAACTTGTAAAGAACTTTTCTTTCATACTGAGAGTACACGACAAACAAGATGAATTTGAACTTTTAATAGAGGAAGACAAATATGATGAAAGATATAACTAAGTCCTAGTAGGATAATCCTCATGATTGAAATACATAATTCAAAAATACAACTTGTTCACAAGCAATAAAAAGTGATAAATTACACAATATATCCTAAAATATCCAACCCACGCAGAAATCCAAGTGCATGAACTTCCTGGAAATTGTTTTTATCAACAGAGAATGAAGTTCTATGCTATTGGAATTACAGCATATACTATTGATGCTTTTGAAAGTATCTGTTTTATAACAAGCAGAAGCAGGAACATCCCCTTCCCCAATAAATCTTCCTATGAAAAGTAGAAGCTGATGAGAATAAAAGGTTGGATGACTAAAGTCCTGATAGAATTGCCTTCTACTCCAGTGCAACACTGGACTTGACTTTGAAGCATGGATACAGGTCCCAAATCTATGAGAGTACAACTTTCCAAGCTGAACTCCAGAGAGAGTAGAAAGGGAGAAGGATTGGATTGCTAAAGAGAAGGTTGTTTGAAGAAGCTTTTGTTCCTTAATAGGCCAGCAACCTCAATCTAAATAGCATCAGTTCAGCTTTGCTTGCATGGAAGTAAGAGTTTCTTAGGTAAAAATATTTCTTTGGGCTCAGTCAGACACTGGAATTATGCCTATGACAATCTGGTCTGAATTCCAATAGTTCTGTGATTGCAGATAACCTTTGCCAAAACTTGGATAGTATTTGCTATTTAAAACAAACCTTGCTATAGATATTAATTCCATTTACCTTGAATCTTGGATGGGATCTTAATCAAAACCATTCTCTAAACCCTTAAGTATTTTTTGATTCATGATTTTCTGACTGTGCCTCTTACATTGTTTTAAAGACTTAAGGCGTTTGGATGTATTTCCAAAGGCAAATTTCAGATAGTTCAAAAAGGCATCAGATGCTAATGACTGGGGATTTGAATTATCTCAAAATCTGCTGGGAAATTCTCCACCAAGTATAGTCTCTCTAAGAAATTTCTGGTTTGTCTTGACAATTATTTTTTTCAAAGATGATAGATGGAGAAAGTACTAAGGTAAATTAGCTATCCTAGACTTGATCCTAACCAATAGGGAAGATTTAATACATAAAGTGAGAATAGCAGGAACTTTGGAGGAAATGGCTATACCAGTGATGGCAAACCTTTTAGAGACCGAATGCCCAAACTGCAACCCAAAACCCACTTATGCATCGTCGGGTGCCAGGTGGGTGTGGCCCATTGGCTGGGTGTGGCCCATTGGCTGAGTGTGGCCCATTGGGGGGGTGGCCCATTGGGTGGGCATGGCTACGGGGGTAATGGCAGACTGGGTGGTACTAAAAAGTTCAATCAATCAATTCCAACTTTGCAAGATCTTTTTTCCCCCCGCAAGAAGTTGAAATTGACTGATTGATTGAACATATTTTTTTTTTTGCACACGGCGGCGGAGGCCTAAAGTGAAAAGATTTTATAAAACCCAGCTGAAAGCCTAGGACTGGGACGATGGCGTGCGTGCCCACAGAGAGGGCTCTGAGTGCCGCCTCTGGCACCCGTGCCATAGGTTTGCCACCACTGGGCTATACAATTCTGGAGTTATTAACTGAAGAAAAAATAAAGCTGAAAATAATCAATATAATTTGGACTTCAGGAAAGCAGATTTTAATACACTCAGAGTATATAGAGTAGGGTTCCATGGCAGCAGAAGCTAATGGGAAAAGGTTGTGCAAGGTGGATGGGAGACACTAAAAGTGGCTCTAAAATACAACCACAAATATTTTCAAAGAGGAAAAAAAATACAGGACACCAGAAGATAACCACATAGAACACTTAATGAAGATCTGAAAATATAAATGGATGTATATAGGAGGTGGAAAGATGCACAGGTCATGCGTAAAAAGGAAATACAGACAGCCCTGATTGATAGTGAGTAGAGGTTAGCAAGAGGATACTCTTAAGTTGTGTTTAAAATAAAAGGAACTGGAGAGAAACAGCATGCCGATTGCTTAATGGAGATGGACAAAGGTTAGCAGATAATTAAGCTAGAATACTTAACTCTTATTTTTGCTTAGTCTTCTCTAAGATTAAAAAGATTGTATTGTACTAGGCAATTGTGAAGAACTTGTTGAAAGAGCAGGATTGCAGCTTTGACTTGATAGATACATAATGTACATGCTGTAGCGTACCAAAAAGAGAAACAGGATTCAGAGTTACAGATAGTCCAGTATTCATACATGAATAAAATTATAGTATTTATAATAAAGTAATTAATCTGTACCTTGACAAAATGTAGATTACTAAAAATCAGTATGGAATGTCAAGTACACATCTTTTCAAACTAACCTTACTTTATTAAAAATAATTTCTTTAATTAGTTCCTTAAGTTGTGAGAATGCTGTGAACACAATATATCTTGATCAAAATACTCCATTGCTCTGTGATTAGTGAACAAATACCACTGGATGGCAGTAGTTAGATGAGCTCAAATTGTCTTGAAAGCAATGGTCAAAGAATGCTCATCAACAGTTAAGATTGGAGTCAAGCATCCAACTCTTTTCCAAAGACCTCAGTTCCTATAGCGAATAAATTGGTAAAATGGCACATTAACAAACTAAGAGTTGGGGGGGACATTGGAGGTCTTCTAGCCCAACCCCCTGCTCAATCAGGAGACCCTATACCATTTCAGACAATCATTGTCCAGTCTCTTCTTAAAAGCCTCCAGTGATGGAGCCCCCACAACTTCTGAAGGCAAGCCATTCCACTGGTTAATTGTTCTCACTGTTAGGAAATTTCTCCTTAGTTCTAGGTTGCTTCTTTCTTTGATTAGTTTCCATCCATTGTTTCTTGTCTTGCCTTCTGGTGTTTGGAAAATAGGTTGACCTTATTTTGAAAGGAGTTAGGGTGACATGATAGCAGTGTTCCAATTGCTATCATGTCACCCTAACTCCTTCTTTTCACTAGACTAGACATACCCAAGTCCTGAAACCGTTCTTCATATGTTTTAACCTCCAGCCCCCTAATCATCTTTGTTGCTCTGTTCTGCATTCTTTCCAGAATCTCAACATATTTGGTGACCAAAACTGGATGCAGTATTCTAAGTGTGGTCTTATTTGCCTTGAAATTGAACCAAGTGTGCTCAAATTATTTTTTTATTTTATTGCATTTTCTTGATTTTACTTTATTTTTTCATCATCATCATCATTGCTCAATACTCAAGCTGAAGCAAGAATCCATTTCTTTTTCAGAAGTCCTTAATTCCTACAGTGAATGAATTGATAGGATGGAACAAACTTTTGGTCTAGAGGTTTAATAAGCTTGTCAAACTTATACTTGATATACCAGTTATTTCAAGATGCTACCACTTCACCAGTCCTAAAACTAAAACTTCCAGTCTTGCTAAAGAAGTAGGATACTTCTGGGAGACACTAGCTTATATCAATTAATTACTTGTGAATTGATAAGAATCTTTATAATGTAAAATAAAAGAGATACTTTTATCTTCATTATAGTGGAGATATCATAGACTTCTACTATCAACAACATTTTAGATCCTTGAACAAAGAAGGCAGAAAATTGGATAGTCACAGATGCAAGTTATACTTTTCAGAAATTCTCTCCATATACAGTACTGTATTGCTAAGTCTCAGGCAAAATATTTTCTTTTAAGAGAGAAGATATTTCCATTCCTTCTAATTTGTCAGAGAACAAAAGACAAACAGTCCAGGTTTTTCAAATAGAAGCAGTAGATTTTGCCAAGTAGGAATTAAATATGGTTCGTCATGCAACGGACTTGGCAGCCAAAGTTACAACATGTTCTGTTGCCTTGCATTACTTTGCCTAGCTCTGCTGCACTGGAATGACATTAGAGGCCAAATCTAGAATTGAAAATCTTCCATTTGATGGGATTGGATTATTCTGCAATAAAAACCGCTGACATCTGGGACATAGTTAAGAAGCTTAGTAAAACCATTTGCAAATGGGGACTACAGTAAAACTGCTTTGTCCCATCCAGCTATTGTCCGCAGTTCTGCTCATGTATTAAGCAAAGTCTACTCAGTCTTTCAAATAGAGTATATCATTTCATGCTCAGGGATTCCTGCTGGTTGTTGGGACTGCCTAAATTAAAACATAGCACAGCGCATACGTATATGCCTAGAAACTCCAAATGGTATCTATGATCTTGATGGTTCTGTCTAATGAGGTTTGGGGTCTTCCTTGTTTGCTTATAAGATGTGTGGACTTCTGTTATAACTTTTGGGTTCCATTAATCATTTTTCAGTATTTTCATATGGAATTCATAGTAAATCAGCCCATTGTTTCTATGGCAGAGGTATGTCTAGAGCTGCACCATATTTTGCTAACGGTCTGTCTGCATACTTTCTTCAAGTTCATTCCTGTATTTCTCTGTAGCAGGATACATGTTTTCACTTCCTTCACTTACAGTCTTTTACTTATTGGCCTCTTCATGAACAAAACAGTTTTTTCTAAATATATAGCACCTATAATTTGATTCCTCAACCTCCACAGTCATTCCCTTATTTAGACAGTTATGTATTCCCATACTATTAATATAGATGCCTTCGTTACTGGTTTGTCTACAGACAAAGTTCAAAGTCCTGTTCATCTTTGGACTTGGCCATACGAGAAACCTTACTGTTCTTCCCAAACTTCAGAAATCTACTTGGATTCTAAACTCATTGGAGGAACATTTTCTGAAGATGTGAGAATGAACCTTCCTGGGCTGCACTAATCTCAAATCACTGCAGGACTTGGGTTTGGCTAGTCTAAAGAAAAGAAGAAATAGGGGAGACATGATAGCAGTATTCCAGTATTTGAGGGACTGCCACAAAGAAGAAGGGATCACATTATTTACCAAAGCACCAGAGGGCAGGGCAAGAAACAATGGTTGGAAACTGATCAAAGAGAAGCAACCTGAATTAAACTTCCTGACAGTGAGGACAATTAACCAGTGGAACAGCTAACCTCCAGAAATTGTGGGCGCTCCATCACTGGAGATTTTTAAGAAGAGGCTAGATAGTCACTTGTCTGAGATAATATAGGTTCTCCTGCTTGAGCAGGGGGCTGGACTAGAAGATCTCCAGGGTCCCTTCCAGCTCTATTCTATTCCTGTTACCCTTTTGCTATCAGTCAAACATGTTTTCAATTAGGTAGAGGTATGAAAAGGATGCTGTCTTCTTTTTTAGTATTTTATTAGTAACTTCCAACCGTATTGGTTGGAGACATGGGGAAGAGACCTTCATCCTGCAGTGGATAGATTATGGCTAAAATGATGATGATAAGTAACTTAGTTTTAGCTTATTGTTAGTCACTATGACCATAGTTCATTAGTGATAGAAAGACTTGAATACGAAATGAATAATAAAGGAAGAATTCTTGTTAGGAAGTATTTATTTGGATTGCTTTGTTGTTGCTGCTGTGTGGCTGATTAAGCCAGCTGATTTAGAATCTGAGCATGATTTTATAAATAATTACTTGTTAAGATGTTGAAACAGGGTCAGGACATTCAGGAAATGGCCAAGCAATGTTAATTTTCAGAAGTTGTTCTGTAAGCAGAAATGTGATGCCTGATAAAATCTCCACTTCACTGGTTGCTTGATGTCTCCTATTGGAAATCTTCAAAGATCCAAACTTACCTTTATAGAAATGAGAACGGAAACAGGGTGAGATGGAAGTAAGGAGGCAGCTGTCCTGGATAAGATCACAATTTTCTTCTCTTGTGATTGTGAGGCTTATCAGTGTTTAACTGATGCATCTCTTTTCCATGACTCTGAAAGTTCATCTCCTTTCTGTCTGTTTCTTTCAGAGAGTTGATGAGTGGATGGCAAAGGAAGGCCTTTTGGATCCCACGGTCAAGTCTATTTTTGTTACCTGTGGAGATTGGGACTTGAAAGTAATGTAAGTATGGGACAGAGGATTATGTATTCATATTCTGATTATTCTTTCCCCCCCGCCAGCTTTTCTTCCACACTGGAATATCTGTGCATCTCTTTATTTGGGGCTGTGTCTGAATGGTATATTACTGATGCATGCAGCCTCTTGAATTGTCAGTTCTGACTTTGCTGCATTACTCCTCTATGTACCAGCATGTAAATACATTAGAAGCACAATAATGAAGGACCTTGGCACTTGCTTTTTACTTGTATGAATATATAAATGACATAAAAGTCCAGTTTCTTCCCCATCTTTCCGTTTGATACATTTCTACTGCAGGCTTTTCTACTTTTGAAAATATTCTCTCTAACTATTCAGGATGTGTGATATAAGCGAGAACCATTTCTTTTGAGCACATTTCATATTAAGAAGATTTGATCTTTAATATCAATAAAAAATTTTGTTTCACAATTTAAACCAAACATGTAATTGTTCCCATGGTCAGGTTTTGGGTTAGAGGACTAGAAAGCAACTAACATTACCTTGTCTTAAAAAGGGTATTAAGTTCTGGGAAATTATAGGCTGGTTTGCTTAGTTTATTTTTCTCAGTAATATGATGAAATTGACATGGAAAAAGAAAAAACAGAAAAGAAGAGAAGCTTATGTCTTCAAGCAGGATAAATAGCTTTGTGACCCATAAGAGATGGAATAGAGCAGTTTGGGGAATGTTAATCTCCATCTTTGTTTTCTACATGCATTTTCATTTAAATGGCACAAAAGTCTTGATTCCAGATTCAGAAAATGCTACGAAAATGGCTCATTTATTCCTTCTTTCCATTTATCTTTTTATACAACAGCTTCAGAGGCTGATGATTAGGCTGATTCCTGAGCATTGCTGGTGCCAAGTAGAAAATTCATGATCTTGTGAATCCAGCTTCTCAGAAGTAAGAAATTCAGCTACCTGTTAGTGATCAGCTTGTCACTTTATTTCAGATTGGCTGTAGCAGCCTTAGCGGTATCACATCCGATTAGCTGTATGTCAGAGACTATGCCTTGGCTTGAATTAGAGAGAGTTTGTTGCCAATCTTGACTTGTCTCATTTCCCCATTTACTTTTATCCATCACTACAATGCTGAGGTTCCCCCTCAACTAATTAAGTTTGCATGTGTTTAGACACATTGCCAAATAAGATTTAGCAAAGCAGAACTGAGCTACATCTCTTTTCAGATGGGATTGATGTAGAGCTCGTAGGCTGCCTCTGAGATCAAAGAAACAGAGAGGGTTGGATCTACAGGATATACCGCTTATACTTCTCAGTGAACTTTAATTGTGTCTAAAGGTAACCCACAGAGGAAGTAGCCACTGCGTATGTACTGCACAAATTATTAAATCCTGTTTCATTTATGATAGAGAACTATGAGTTAAAATCCAGATTTGAGAGTGGGATAGCATAGGGTGCTGTGGTAAAATAAAGACAAAGGCCAGGTATTAAATAAATTGCAAGAATACTTTTGTGTATATAACACTTATTAAACACCTTTTTCAAATAAGTGTAGAGAAATAAAATTGTATGCTTTTGAAAATACGTGTTTTATAGTATTTTGCTTATCATTGGCATTTGAAACAAATCACAATATATACAAGAAGGGAGAAAAATGGCTGTCTGTATTTTCAATAATGCCTGTTAAGTCAGGAGTGTAGACAACCTGATGTATTTTTTTCAGGTAGTTACTAGAGCCACCAAAAATTATACAGCTCTTTTTCAATAGGAAAATAATTTATATACACCTTTAAGCTTAACAAACACATACAAATAAAACACATAGCCTCCTGCTATCATTAGTGGTAATACTGGAAGGATTGTCTTGATGGAACAGCTAACAGTTGAACTCTGCTGTGATATAATATTTATTTATTAGAATTTTTTAGCCTCTCTTTATTTTTGGTAAACTCAAGGCAGAATACGTACTTAAAATTCCTGTCTCCTGTTTTCCCCATAACAACTCTATGAGTTGGGTTAGGGAGAGAGAGGGGGACTGGTCCAAAGACGCCCATCTTTTTCTCATGCTCAAGGAAAGATTGAATTCACAATCTCCTGATTTCTAGCCTAGCACTTTATCCTCTACACCAAACTTGCTCTCTAATAATAACCTAATTACCAGGGAATAAAATAATTATTTCAAAGTAAAAGATGTGAAAGATTTCGGGCAATGTTGATATATCCTATACCAATGACGGCGAACCTTTTAGAGACTGAGTGCCCAAAAACTGGCCCCGCCCCTGCTCCACCCCTGTCCCGCCCCTGCTCTGCCCCCACCCTGCCTGTCTGCAGGGCCACTCATCTGCAGACTGCAGGGCCACTCACCAGGGCCCGCCGCTGATCACCCAGGCAGCCCAGCAGCGCCATGGCCACGCTCTCTGCCCGACCCCCGCAGCATCAACTGTGCGGGATGGGGTGTGAGGGCAGAGTCTTGTCTACACTGCCTGGCTGCCATGTCCTTGGCTGTGCTGCTCCATGTGGGCCATGCTCGGGGGCAACTCTCCTCCAGGGGGGCTGCTGGTGAGGGGGTCGTGGGGGAGGCGAGCTGGGGCAATGGCACATGTGCCCACAGAGAGGGCTCCGAGTGCCGCCTCTGGCACGCGTTCCATAGGTTCGCCATCACTGTCCTATACAGAAATAACAGGATGGGCAAAATGAATCTCATTGTACCCAGTGAAGAGGAAATATATTCTTGTTCTGGTGATGGAAGAATCTGGAAGAGCAAAATCAGGACTTTGTGCCGGTCTCCAAAACATATCGAGAAGTAGTGGTTCAGTAAATTCATATCACCAAGCCAGTTGTCCTGCAGACATATTGTGAACTAACAGAAGCTTGGAAACAGTTTTGAAGGCAGGCCTCGATACAGTACAAGGCTGCGATCCCAATGGGTAACTGATGGAAACTATGTAACTAAACCATGGGTAACTGATGGAAAACAATTCTGTCCAGGAATAATATAGTTTGCTTACTGTTACATTATTTTGAAACGCTTTAGAGACATCATTCTTTGTTAGGGGGTTGATGGCAGTTACAAGTATTGAGGCGTTAAAAAAAATACAGGCTTTGCTTTTTCCAGGTGGTGTCATGAGCTTATCTGAAATTGGCAGTGTATTGCTGGGTGTACAATTACGCCTCCCTTCTCACCGTGACTGTAAAACTAGAATCAATAATGAGGTGCTGATTTTGTATTCACTCTTTTCATTGGTGGATCAACGATTTTGGCTTCCCCTGATCAACATCGATTGGACTGGCAAAGGGGAGACAGCTCTTCCTTTCCTATTCACTACCCTTCTTTCCTTATTGAGATGCAGTATCTTTAACGAGGAAAAAGTTCCTGAGTGGAACATCACCTTTCTGAAGGCTTGTCCTGATAAAGGCATTTCACATCAATATATCTCATGTCAAATTTGGCAAATATGAGTCACTCATTCTAAAACCTTTCTCTACTAAAGAAAGAAAAGTCCTTGAACAGAAAAGAGAATGAACCATATCTCACAGCTTGAATACTTCATGACAGCAGTGGATCTAATGAGAGAGGTCCGTTCATTCTGGATATGAAATGTCCTCCATTTCCATTGGCAAAGAAATACTCTTAATTAAAGAAAAACTACCTGAAGCTACAGATAAGAGACACTATAGCTGCCAGGTTGAAATATATGATTGTTAAGCTTATGGAACCTTAAGGCTAAGAACAAATGGAAAGGGACTTGTTTTGGTGGGAACTATTTGAGAATGGAAAGCTGGTAGGCCAGGCTTTAGAGTTTGTGTAAGAAACACATCTTGGAAGCCAATTTAGTGAGGGATTTACAGCAAAGTTGGAAGTATACTCATTGCTATAAGCAATCAGTTATATATCCCTTGTAACAGCATTGAATCATGCTTCCTTGTAGGGCGAGATGAAAGAATTGCAGCACAAAAACTTGGCTCAGTGCTACCCCCTATATTTTGTGGCAAATTCTGCCTTTTTCAAACAGTGTGATTGGGAAGAGATATATAGTATTGTGTTTTGAAAGACAGGCATCCTCTGAGAAAAGGATTTTGAGATTTTTTTTCTAATTGTCGCATTTGTTGCATTGTGTTACTTCCCGGAGTTGTCCTAACAGAAGGCCAAACTGTAGTCCAGAAGAATCAGACCTAAAGTATAGCTTTCAGATTGAATTTTATGGAAACTGATACAGATGGCATTCCAATTATCGTATCTTGTCTTAAATCAAAGTATGGTTTAATCTTTTGCTTCAGGCATTTTATTTGAATCAGCAGAGAAGCCAGCAGTTAACTATTTTGAGTAGGCTGAGGAAGCTATGATTTTAGAACTTCAACAGCTTATTTTCCAGCTTGTATGAACTTTATTATATGTCAGTTTATTAAGGTGTGATGTTATGGTTCAGACTCTCCCACTGAAGTTTAAATTTCATCTACTTAAATCATTGTTTCATTCCATATTTTGTTCATTCTTCCTATGAGAACAACATATACATTTTCATAAAAGGGTATGCATAACAAGAAGTTGGTTGTGATTCAGCAACTTGCGTATACCACATGGGGATTTGTTCATGTGTCAGTTCAGAATAAGAACCCGAGATAATTCAATAAGACATTTATGAAGATCAACAAGACCGCCAACTTCATATTTTATATATATCTTATGGCCGGAAGCATGCTGTTGGTGTATTTTCAAGCAGAGTATGATGGCAGTGTTTTTTCTTTGTCTCCAGCATCTTGTTTCTGAAAATAATTATACTTCTGTATATCATATCAAAAAGATCTGTTACTATCTTATGTATATTTTTTTAAAAATGAGTTATAGTTATTTATTTATATTTTGCCTTTATTATTTTTTACAAATATCTCAAGGCAGCAAACATATCTAGCAGACATGATCTAACCCATTTCTTTTTAAAAAACTAATTGTTCCAATGCTTTATTTTGATAAGTTCTAAAAAAGCAAGTCTAATACAGTGATAAAACATACTGGAATGATGTG